GGGATATCCTGGACCGACGTGAAGAACTTAGAAGACCTAGATTTTGCGGATGATTTATGTTTGATGTCACACAAAATCGAAGACTTACAAGCAAAAAACCGACAAACTGGTCGAAGAAGCAGCAAAGACAGGACTTCAGGTGAACATAGACAAGACGGAGGTTATGAAAATAACCAACCAACAACAGCAGCAACATCCAGTGCCAATCACCATCAACGGGAGAGATTTGCAAGAGGTTACTTCTTTCACTTATCTGGGGAGCATTGTCTCAACCACAGGAGGAACGGACGAGGATGTCAAATCGAGAATTGGGAAGGCGAGAAACACACTCATCAACCTGAAACCAATCTGGAAATCTTCGTCACTCAGCATCAACAACAAAATTCGGATTTTCAATACAAACGTCAAGTCAGTCAGTTCTTCTATACGGATCAGAAACTTGGCGGCGGGTCACCAAGAATATTTCCAACAGCCTGTTGCAGACCTTTATCAACAACTGTCTTCGCTCTATACTGAAGATCAGATGGCCGGAAAGAACAAGAACCAACAAGAAGCTATGGGAACAAACAAGACAGGAACCAATCGCCCAACAAATATGCAGGAGAAAGTGGAGATGGATTGGACACTCGCTGAGAAGGCCTCAGGGTGACATCGTGCATCAGGCCATCGAGTGGAACCCGAGAGGGAAGCGGCGAGTGGGACGTCCAAGGATGACATGGAGGAGATCGTGTGAGGAGGAGATGAAACAGTATGGAATAACATGGACGCAAGCGAAAAGAACAGCAGAAGACAGAAGCAAGTGGAGACGTGCAGTTGAAGCCCTATGTTCCACTAGGAACCCAAGGGAACAATAATAATAATAATAATAATACAACACACTGGGCTGAGTAGGCTATGGTTTCATCAGCGCTTTGCATTTGATTATGTAAGCAAAGATTAGTAAGGGATACTGGAGGCACAAAATCTAGAAACAAGGCGTCTAAACTACTAAGTCTTTGGTATACACTTATGTATTAAATAAGAAAGTAGACATCAATCGAGACTGGGGTGTATACCTTAACAGCCAATTAACTAGCTTTCACAACAGACTTCAGACTTTCATCACTGGACATCTTCACCGCCTCGAAACTGAAGATCAGATGGTCAGAAAAGAAAAACAACAAACATCTCTGTCTGCGAACCAGCCCAAAACCTGTTATCCAACAAATATGCGAAAGGAAATCGATTGAACATACGCTGTGGAGATCTTCAAGTGACATCACACGTGAGGCTCTCGGATGGAAAGTGACTAGTTGGGCGTCCTAAGATAACAAGAAGATCATCTGAGGAGGGAATAAACGCTTGTGAGCAGTCGTGGAGCCCGGTGAAAATGACAACAGAGAAGAGAGTAGAATGAAGATGTGCTGCTGAGGCCCTATTTTACACTCCGAAACCAAGAAATGAATAATAACAACAAACTAGTTTGTGTGAATTAAAGCTCATAATCAATTATTAATAACAAAGCTGAATTACACTCTTTATGTACAATTTGAACGCACTAGTAAAAATATTCTCATAGGTTTAACTTCTTGTCAAATAATAATAATAATAATAGTGAAACGAAAGAAAAGTACATGCAAAAATAGGGATTTAAAATCATGAGGTTGTTCATGATAGTATATATTAGGACTAAACTAACAAAATAGAGACAAAGGAACATATGATGATTATTAGGGAAAAGATGAAAATACAAAAGAGAAAACAAAATTACATCAGTACTCAAGTAATCGAGTGCCTTTGAATCCTGATTCAGTAGGGATTGGTTCTGGAATGAAAATTGTATAAAAATACATAAGCTATAAGACACTGTATAATTCGCAGATTGATACAATTTAAGAAAAAAATAAGGTAAAGAGACTAAATCCCTGGTAATCATATAGTAAAGTATTTTAGATGTTCCGAAGTCAGAAATAATCCCCCTCGATATTTTTTTCCTCAAAAAGCGGATTCAAAAACATGCTCAGTTTCATGCTGGAGTTTATCAGTAGATATTTATACTGTCACGTAGTTCCACAAAAATAATAGATAACCAGGGAGTACTGGACAGCTACTTTGCCCTAGTTCTAGACTCTGAAGCAGCACGCATCCGTGACCCCACCAGGGATTAAACCCAGGATTCTCAGGTTACTACAGGAGCTTGTTGGCGATTCAATCACGGAGGTGGAATCAAATGACACTCTTCATATCATGTAGGTCCTAAGCACCTCTGAAGAGTTCCAAACTAAGACGAAGCAGCTGCCTAGTACTCCCTGGTTTTCAATTGTCCCTTAACTACAATCAGTTCGTGAGCTAAATAGTCAATCAAACCCCTCCTAAGATACACGCTTTGCGTCGGTGGTTCAGCGGTAGGATGCTCGCCATTCACCCGTGTGGTCCACACTCCCAGCAGACGCACTCCTTAACCTCGCTTAGCTGACAGTAAGCCCGGGAAAGTGAGGGACGGTTGGGTGTGAGACTAATAAACGCATTCGGTAAAGATGAAATCACTGCTAATGATACTTCAAAGTCTGAAACCCTATGTTCTAATTGGAATGCAAAGGAACAAAAAAATCCCTGCAAAACAACACCTGGAGTAGATAATACATGCAGTACTCAATGAAATCTGTTCGGTTCTCCACTTTAAGAGTAAAAAATATGAAATGAATTGGTATACTTCAAATGTTTTAGTTTTGTACTGATTAAAATCTATCGTGATAGTAAAGTCTGTGGATTTTTCGCACACTAAATTACAGTAGCCAACATAAATATTTAGGTAGACATTGTTAATCGTTTAGTTGAGCGCAGAATATGCAAAGGCAGAGATCACAGCTGTCATAACGAAAAACTTAACTATTTAAAGACAGTATGGCACAAGAGAGAGGGAGAGATATCAATATCAAATATTTGGAAACGACTTACCAGTTGTTAATTTACACGGACTACCAGATTTTGATTTTTGTGTAGTCGACTTGAAGGTTAAATTGTCACAGTATGTTCGATTAGGATCCCATGTTGGATTATCAGCCCATACATACAGTATACTATTGGAACAGACACCTAACTCTTGTAGTGTTTTAGTGTTATCAAAGAGCTCTACACCCTAAAGACAAAAACAGATTTAAAATATAATAATAATATCACAACATTCTTGCATCATGTACTAAAGTGTACTTATCACCAGTTATATTTTTCTAGTATATAATCTAAATAATACATCAATGTTTAGGCATAAAGAAAACAAAAAGGTCACAAATATACAGTAGGCAAAATGTAAGAGATTTAATCACGGATAATAAGGTTGTAAGTAATATATCCTTTAGAAGCTTAATGACTTCGGCAAGTGTATTTCTGTTCATCCCGATCGATAGCTGCTACATTGAAGTGGTGGTGAGGCTTGCATACCACAATGACCTAACGAGCTACACTAGCTGGAACTAATGTTCCTGCAGGTCCTACCATGCCAGAAAGGTTGTTTGGATAGCGATTAGAATAAAGGAAGTTACCGTCATAGTGTAAGTTGTTTACACTGTGTTGGGGGGGGGGGGATCATCTGTGGGTGAAGTCGTACTGCTGGGGAATAGGGACGTGACAGCGGTAAGTTGTTTCCCTCAGATGACCAGCAATATTGCTTCTCCACTCTGAAGATCAGGGGCGTTAGAAAAGGTTGACCCCGAAAATCGTACATCCTGACTTACCTTGCGGCAGTAAGATCGTAGTAAGCATATGATAACAAAAACTAATTCAAACGGGCGGTAAATGACTGGTCTCAAGCAATTGTCCCATGAGCTCTGTCGTCAAGCAACAATAATGTTCTTTCTACCCCAAGAAGAAAAAATCAACTTTCACGGTTTGGCCAGCAGGGAAGTAACAACCACCCATACACTTCCGAAAGCAAACTTCCTTTGTTTGTTCGTGCACTTAGCAATAAGCCTTACTTCAGTTATGTGAATAGTGTGTAAACACATAGTAAATAAAACATAATTTGAAACTATATATCATTCATTTAGGAATTGAATGCTTAAACTAAAGAACAACACTTCTAGCTATATGCACTCAAAAAAGGTATATAGACATGAACTCCTAGAAGGTAATCTATATCAACAATAAAATGTGTCATCTTTTTATACAAGTAGTTCATTGAAGTTGTTAAGGAGAATTTTCAATCAACCCTAAGATGGTAGTTTAAGTTTGTTTGCTTAAACTAAGATGTTAAAAGAGTTAGGCTACCTCAGTATATAATCAACACTTGTTGTCATCATGTCGAGAATGACGCAAAAACGAGATGTATGCATACAGTGAAGAAATGATTATTAGTGATATCTAAGTTAGAAGAGTAACCCTCTATATCGATAATCGAAGCATACCTACTTATGCTGCACCAGAAGGTATAAGCTGTAAAAAAAAACTAAACTTGAGCAATTCAATGTTAGTAAAAGACAACAGAACTACAGGCGAAACGGATGAAGATGTCAAAGCCCCAACCAGAATCGGAAAGGCAAGATACACCAGTTTGGAAATCTTCTACACACAACATAAACAACAAGATTTGGATTTTCAACACAAATGTCAAGTCAGTCAGTTCTTCTATACGTGTCAGAAACTTGCACTGCGTGTACTTTGCGAAAAGGATTTCCAACAAGCTACACACGTTTATCAATAGCTGACTTCACTCGCTCAATACTGAATATCAAATGGCTGGTTGACCAGGAAGAATTAGCAACAAACGAGCCAAGAGCCGATTGCTCAACAAATATGTAGGAGAAAATGGAGATGGGTAGAGCACAAGTTGAGGAGGCCATCGAATGACATTGCGGGCCAGGCCAATGCCCTAGTGGAATCCTAATGGGAAGCGACGAGTGGGTCGTCGCTTCAAGAGTGACATGGAGGAGATCGTGTGGCGAGAAGATGAGAGATTATGAGCAATTTTGGGTGCACCTAAAGAGAACAGCAGAAAATAAAACAAAGTGGACATGGGTTGTTGAAGCCGTATGTTCCACTCAGAACACAAGGGAGTAATAATATATAAAAGACAATAGTGAGTCCATGGTTCAGTGCATAGAATGAATGCTCGCTAACTACACACATGACCCTGAGTTCGATTCCTGGGCCGACATTCTCCTCCTAAACCTTGTGTCTAGCTGGTAGTCAAAGCCTAGAAAAGACGGAAGGTTGGATGTGAAGCTAATAACCCTATCCAGTAAACAAAAACAATACCACTACTGAAAGTTCAGTAATCAAGTTTGAAGACCTCTCTGTTCTATTCGGAACATGTATAAGAATATAAAAACAATATGTTAAATTGACTCAATTTTTATAAATATACTATTTTTGGGAAAATAAAATTTATATGTGTATACATACATTATTAATACTACTTATTATGGATAAACTTACATAAGATACAATATGTTGTTCAGATGGTAGAACACCTAAAATCTCCATTAATTGAACTTTCATATTCAATAAAGTATCAGTACTATTCACTTTAACCAATAAATCTCTAGGGTTTAAACGTTGACGTGTTGAACGTCTAACATAATGTACAGATGAAGAGTCCAAGTGATTAGTAGACTGAATATTATTTGTATTGTTATTATTATTATTACATAAAATCTGATGATGTTGATGGCGATTCCCGTCTTCTTGAGTAAATTTATTATTATCATTATTATTATTATTAAGAGAAGATGAGAGTTTGTTTGAATCGGTTCCATTGTGTGAAGTTAAAGGAGTTGAATCATTTTCGCCTCGTTTAGCTAAATAAGACTGAATTTCTTTTAAATTATTCATTTTCTAAGGAAAAGAAACAATGGGAAAAAACAAACAAAAGAATAAACAGGAAAAATAATTTTTCCTAAATAAAATCAAGACAAGTAATATGCACAATATTGTTTTAAGAATTGACTAGGATGAATTATATCTATCTTCAGAGTGATAAATTGCGCCAAATTAAAGGACATTTCAGTCTACTACTCGTTATAATAATTCAAATATACTACCTAAGTTACATAATATAATATTCTCTTAAAAGTTAGACTATAAACCAACCACTCTTATTCTACACAATGAATTAAATTCCAATACGGCATCATTAAATAGCATAGTAGTGATTAACTTGAAAGTGTGCTCTCCAACTATTGCAATCTAACCTCACTTATTTACCAACAGTCTAGACTTTGGTAAGACTATCGAAATAACAGAAATAGAGTTTCTTTTCCCATGATTTACTACAACTACTTCCACTACTACTGCTGCTCTAATGCTGTCAATACATGGGGTACCCTTTTGGGCGAAGTAAAATGTGCAGCTCTATATCCCCATGCCGTATACCTACCATAAAGTGTTCGAATATTGTGGCTGGAAGTATGACATACGGTGCAAATACTAATTTTGCATCGACTGTCAAAACCCGTGTCTGCGTTCCACCAACCTGATCAGGAATGTCCGGATTTGTATTGCCGGATTCAGAGTGAACAGAAGTATTGCCAGATTCAATTTTAGCATCCAGTGATACCAATGGACCTGTTGTAGGAGGATTGATAGAAATTGAATGTAGACAACTGCTAACTGCTTCATCTAGACCAGATACTAGACGAATACGGATTCTAGCGTTATTGTAAGTTTGATTACCAGTTGTTAGTTGGGAATTACATTCACAGCATAAAGTACTATAAGTAGATGGTTCTAACTGCCATTTAGATTCACAGTCATCACGAGGAAGTAAATACATCGCTGGATAGAATGGCAGTTGTGTTTCTGATCCACTAGCATTCAAAGGAATATTATTCTCTTGTGGTGTTTTAGGATATGCGTGAGACAAGACATCCCATTCATAAGAAGAAAGAGGAAATAATGTTGATTCTTCTATAAGAACTTGCCAGGTTTTCAGCATCTATAAGTAATAATTAACAAAAAGAAATAATTTGGTTTTCATATTTAATCAATCATGCATGCACTAAACATATTTGATACATAGTAAACCATGATAATTACAAAAAATAATGTCTACACTACAATTCTTCAGCGAACAGAGTTGAACTTAATAATAGAGTGGTAAGGGGTATATCCCTCACAAAAATGAAAGGGCAAATGCAAACATCTGGTGCTTACAACCTGACTGACACACATCCAAGTTTATATACAGGAGCTGGAATACCCTCATTCCAGACCTATGGGTCCAGAATCTGAATGGATCGAATGACATTTGAATTTGTTTTAGTCACAGGAAACCATAGGAATGCAGCTCCTGACGTTGTTCCACTACTTTATGAATCAAGCGTCAAATCAACGGCTCGGGGATGGCGGTATAAGACAACCATTGCTTCGGACTGTTTGCCGAGGAAGTATCCCAGTTTTCACACAGACTATGAGATTTTCTGTGGTGTATCCATTGGTGTCCATAATGCACTGAGTTTATGTTTTAATAATAATAGTACTAATTTAATTGAATTTTAGATTTTCCCGTCGATTGATTGGACCGAAGTGCTCGGTCTCAGGTTGATATGTCAGCTTCTTGTGCAGATGTTCCGGCGATGTCTGGGCATTTAATCAGTACTTAATTGATGGATGGTGACTAGCAGTGGAATCCAGAATGCGCATTTCGTCCTATTTGGGACTCGTCTGCTGGATGTACCTGCATTTCTCAGTGAGTGATGATGTTCCCACCGAGGCTCGAACCCAGTGCCTATAGTTTCAAACGCCAAAGCGTTATCCACTAGACCACTTGGGCCACAAGAGCCACCTCTTGTGCAACGGGTCATATTAATCTAATTGAATTTTAGATTTTCCCGTCGAGCCTCGGTGGGAACATCACTCACTGAGAGATGCAGGTACATCCAGCAGACGAGTCCCAAATAGGACGAAATGCGCATCCTGGATTCCGCTGCTAGTCACTATCCATCAGTTAAATAATAATAGTACTAATTCCAAGAAATTTACGCCTACAGAGAAGAAGATATTTCAGACACCTTAGGGATACGGGACGTTTGGTCGAGATCGCCAAATCGTTGAAAATATTCAATGTACAGAAGACATCATATCTACTACGATTTGCAGAGGTTAATGTGTAATCAAACGCTTCTAAACAAACTTATGCTTAGCACAGAACTGTTGTAGTTAATCCTTTATTGGTAAAGTATAACCTTTATAATCACTAGAACAAACCCGAGAAATCTAGTTGAACATATTCAAACAGAGTACCGAATACAATATCACATGTAGGAAACATCTGTCTGAAGTCCATATGATGTACATACTGAAGTCATCGTTCAATTGTGTATTACTATTCTTACCTGATTGTGTTCACAAAGTACACCATCAGTACTTAATCCGGATAAAAGTGAACTGGGCAAATTTTCTGCTGTTGGATTTTTTATGAACTTTCTCCATTGTAACACAAAATCCATAGGAATTAAGTATATTGCACTATTGTTTAAGTTATTATCATTGGAAATTGTAGCATCTGGATCTTGATTTTGTACGCATGAATCCATATCATTTCGGCTAAAACATCATATATAATTTTTGTTAAATGAAAGTCATTTTAATTAAAAGCACTTGAAAAAAAAGATGTAAGTAAATAAGTACACTTATTTTAAACAAAATTGAGGTCACTTGACTCGAAGTACAACCTGACTCAAAAAAGAAACCCAATTCCTCATTGGACATTATTATTCCCTTGGGATCTAAGTGGAACACAGGGCCTCAACAGCACACCTACATTTCATCTTGATGTCTACAGTCCTCTTTAACTGGCTCCACAATTGCCCATAGGCTTTCACCTCTTCCTCCTTCTCACACAATCTCCTCCATGTCATCATCGGAAGCCCAACTCGCCATTTTCCATCCCGGTTCCACTTGAGAGATTCATCAGATATCACTTTCATATTATTAACTATTTTTGACCACAAAGCTAACTCAGACATATTTTTGCACACCGACTAAAATTAATTGTACGTTAGTGGTTCAGAGGTAGAATACTGACCAACCACATCTGTGGTCCGGGATTTGGTCCTCGGCCGACGTACTCCTAGACCTCGCTAAGCCGGTTGTGAGGCCGGTAAACAGAGAAGGTTGGGCATGAGGTTAGCAACCCCACCCCGTAAATATACAAAAAAAGAACCACTGCTGCCGAAACTTCAAGGTTCTAGCTTGAAACCTTATGTTCCGCTGGGGACGTAAAGGAATAAAATGAAGTAGAATAAAATTAATTGGGATTTCGAAGCCAAGTAAACGGCTAACTGATTACTAATGATAAGAATATGCGAAAACTCTAATAATATGAAGTGATAATAAAGTTAGATGATAACAGATATACCAGTCACCATGGTCAATAACCAACAACAGACCTCGATATCCCGTATACACTAACCATTAATTCTTGAAATTTTCATGAAAGAGAAAGATGAATCAAAGTAAGAACTTGCATCACTTCAGTATGCACAGAGAAGTGAAAGTACAGAAGAAACCTAGTGATATTCTAAAAGAGTTCCTACTGAGAACTGAGACTGAATTTAGAAAAAATGTTGGAAATTAACTGTAGAACTGATCTTAGGATCACTGAGTTTGCACACGGGTGGTACGTTATCACTGAGGCATTACACTGAAGTTTAATGATCGACTTTTTCCAAATTCTGCTGACTGAAAACGACAGTTAGAAATGTCATGAAGTATATAAATCCACTAATTGCTTAACTTGATTTATATGCTCAACCTCGGCATTACCTACTCTATGGCAAGATCAAACATATATAATACTATGAACATAAATAAAGTGGAATACTGAAGCATCGGATAACACCAAAACTATCATAACATGAAGTGCATACATTTTACTTTTCAAAGTTAAAAAAAGGGCAAGTTATCAATCATGATAATAAAAAGAAAATATGTATTTATTGTACTCATGAAATCAAGTTACCTTTCTTTAAGAGAAAACTCGTTAGATCTGTTAACAGAACTTCCTTTCCTCTCTATCTGTGCATCAGCAGACTGTAAAAGGCGCATACGTTGAGAATTCGATAAAAACAGTCCAGGAAGTAATTGACGTTCACAAAGTGCTCTTTTAGTTAAATCAATTTGTACTGCATTACATTCAGAACAAGACGATTCTGAATTATTTAGTATACTAGATGAATCAATGACTGTATCAGCATTGTATGCAATATGAATAGGAAATGTTGGGATATTAGCACCAGGGAATAAGTCGACTAACTGATGCCAGAGTATTGCTGGTACATAACGAGCATTTTCTGTACTAAGTTGATTGTGAGGACAAAGTATGTCGTGATTCAATGTTGTCTGAGCAGGCTTCATTGTTTGTGAATCAGAACCAGTCTCAATATCACCGTAAAGAGCTCGAGTATAATGGCGTGCAAGAGTTTTCCATTGACGAAAGGATCTTTTACCAATTAAATAATAACCAGCGGCATCATCTTGACACTGTGATTTCGATGTCAAAGGAATAAAAACACAACAATGAGAAGTTAACAAAAAAACCTTACGCGAATAAAAAGAAAGTTTAATATAATCAAGTGTTGGTTTGCAGGGATTTGATTGGGGCTCCAGGATTTCATCATGAACTGACATCAGTTAAAGGGCCATTGGAAAACCTGGGAGTACTTTACAGCTGTTTCGTCAGACCAGTTTGGGACTCTTCATCAGTACCCACCCACTGGGGTTCGAACTCTGAACCTTCTGGTTACAAGGCGAGCTCATGGGCCATTAAGCCACTGGGACCCGATCCAACGGTCTATGAATTCCAACTTCTGCCAATTCATGATATGGCGCGACCATTAGCGAATGTCATTGATGGCGGGTATTTGTACTCACACCTGACCTGCTGTTTAATATATGCTTGAAGATGTTTAGTTACAACCGTTTCAACAAATCGTAGTGAATTCGGTATCCTATACTCATTTAACTATAATTTTGTTGAGTCGTTATGAAATCTTATAACCCACTCCACTACCGTATTTTACTTTTAAATGCGCATAAATTGGTGATGAAAGTGGTAACATTTGTATTTCGGATGCCTTAATTCATAGTGTTTTATCTAATATGAAGCTAACACTGAGGTATGGTACTTTCACTGTCTTATAACCATTGTAATTTCAGATAGTCTGCAGCTGATGGAAACCTACAAACTTGATCTTTTTTGCTTTATCGTCATTTAGATCGAACTGTCCTCCATAGAAAGTAGGATGTTATAAGTATCAGGAAATTCAAGACTTCATACCTTTACGCCTTTACTGAGATTCACAACCCAAGAGTGTAGGATATGAGTGCGGTTACTGATTTATCCGGCACATGCGTACAATTTAATGTTACTAAAAAGCATTCATCAAGGTTTTTATCAATAACTACCCATTTATTATCTTTGAATCTATTGAATAAGAAAATGTTAATCACCATATAAGTATATCTAATGCAATAGACACAAAAATCACTCAGATTTACACTTAAACCAATATTACATACAGTTTCGATAGCTTTTGTGGTGTAGGGTCGCTAGCTCAAAGCCCAACCCTCCGTCTTTACCCGGGCTTGAGACCGGCTAGAAAACTAGCAAGCTAGTAAATTAGGCACTCAGCATAAAGAACAAAATTCGGATTTTCAACATAAATGTGAAGTCACCTAGTTCTTCTATACGGGTCAGAAACTTGCACTGCGTTTATGTCCAACAAGTTACACACATTGAGCAACAGCTGACTTCACTCGCTCCATACTGAATATCAAATAACTGGTCGGCCAGAAAGAATTGACAACAAGAAACTCTGGCTGCGAGTAAACCAACCAAGAGCCGATTGTTCAACAACTATGTAGGAGAAAATGGAGATGGGTCGAGTACAAGTTGAGGAGGCCATCGAATGATATCGTGGGCTAGGCCAACGCCCGAGTGGAATCCTAATGGGAAGCGACGAGTGGGTCATCGCTTCGAGGGTGACATGGAGGAGATCGTGTGGCGAGAAGATGAGAGATTATGAGCAATTTTGGGTGCAGCTAAAGAGAACATCAGAGAATAGAAGAAAGTAGAGATGTGTTGTTGAAGCCGTATGTTCCACTCGGAATCCAAGGGAATAATACTACATGCAGTTTTGGCCTGTCTAAAAATTACACAAGTTGTTACCCTACTAACTAGACCAAAATTACAATGTAATAATGTCGCGATCATTATGCCTTATTCACATTATTCGATGATGCTAATGCAGTACACAGTGATACTAAGTTATGACTGCAGAACCGGTTGACAATGGGTAGAGTTACCAATAAGACATCAGTCTTCTCCCATGTATGCTTTGCTTATGAGTAGAAACCAAAATGAAAAAAAACACAATCAAGGAGAATATTCACTTAGTTCACTCCTAACTGCTTGATGACGGATACCCCGCCCCATCAACCGATGTGTTTAGGCAGCCAGGAAGTACCAATAGCCTTCACACACACAATAGGTGTGGCTTATGGAACTGCGATAAATCTATTGAGTAATACTTCATTTCTCATACACAAAGCAAATCAGTTAAAACATATACGCATACAATTGTGACTGTTTACCTTTCCCTCTTCAAGACGTTTTTGTAACGAGGAAGACAAATGATTTGTTCTTGAAAAATAATCTAATTCCTTGGATAATTCTTTTATCGCGTTTTCAATCTTCAATAAGGCAATATTTAAAGATATGCATTTTTTACACGGTTGAAATCTATCGAATCTGAAAATGATAAAATAAAGCGAAATTAAATTAGGATAGAAAAATACACAGGAATGTGGAACAGAAAGATACTACTGCAACAGTAGAAGACATGAGACTTAGTAACAGAATGTTTATTTGGAATTTAGTATCTCTATAGAGCGGAATTATGTACACCTTATCTGAAAATCGTCACTTGCACAGATCTTCCATGTTGTGCTACTTCTGCACTTTGTATTGTGTTTCTTTGTTTTTTTGCGAGTTTCCCATGTTCTTTGACGTCCAATCTATCTCTCCGCTACTTGATATTTTTATACGCCTCCCTATATGCTACTGATAAATTTATCAGTAGCACCCGCCACACTACTACACTTTTATCTGTGTAAACACTATAAAGTCTTTGTGTATGTTGTACAGAAAAGTATCGGAGACACTAAGTTACATTCAAAACACATTAAGAAATTTGCAGAATAAATGAAAATTGAAAATTTATACTTCACTAAAAAGGACTACGTACTTGACACTGTGAGAAGTATCATTGTTAACTGACTTCGACAAAAGAATTTCAACAAGCTTTTTAAAGCCAGCAGTGGAAACAGCTCTGTATGAGCCTGCGGCAAGGTCAGTAGAGACACGCCCATGTGGACATGAGCGTAAAGAATAGGAAGACTGATTAGATGACGAAGACGGGCATATATGTTCCTGAAGCTTCAGAAGCGACTTCTTTTCCGATTCAGATTGATAGGTAGATGTTGTAGAATCTTCAAATAACAAAGGATGATTGAGGCAATCGGATAACCAAGATGTCGATACCAAAGACACGCTATGCTCATCTGATAGCATTTCAGGAGGCTCAGGAAGTTTCAATTCGGATATAAGGTTGAGTATCTGGTCTTTACGATTCACCTACAACAAAAAGACAAATATTGATATAAGTATAAAACGTGGACACTGTGGAGGAAAAAGACAAATAATTCAGATGCCTCAGAAAACAACTGAGAAAAAATATGACCGTGTATTTTACTGCATACAGAATCGGGGTTTAAAGAAAAAATGGGGCTTTTTACACTCTAAGTTATTTACAAATCACGTATGCAGACCATTTTGTAGAACATAATAGAGAACAACATTCTATCATCCAAAAGAAACTGAAATTACATTCATAAGCATTTAGTTTATGGTCATTGAGCAGCAAAATATAAAATAAAACTACTACTATAGTTTTGTAGAACAAAGAAACCGATTCCCTTAATTAGACTTCACTAACTATGAGTAAACAAATGTTTTCAAGTGTACCTGTTTATCGAATTCAGTGTGAATTGACGTCAGTAGGAGAACAACTGAAAATGAGCAAACACTGGAGGGCTATTTAGTCCTAGTTAGGGATATAACCCTACTAGGTATCGAACTGACGACACCGAAGTTACGAGGACAACACGTTATCATCCAGTCACTGCGTTGGAATCCAACAGCCGCCCATAAATTCTAATTTCTATGAATTCATGAATTTTTTTTCTTTGTTTCAATGCTTAACGGTTTTAATTAGTGCCACCTCAGTAGCCTACACTTATTAATTGTAAATAACATAAAGACGTGAACCTTAACTGCCCCACACACCTGTAATAATACGATAATATAGCTGTTAGTATCACTATTGAACACTTCACACGAAGAAAAAGTTACAGCTTAACAGATTGATACAATTATACAAAAAAATGGATTAGAAGGTTAAACAGTTGCCCGGCTCACTTAAAACTTCATCATTTACAACAATAACCTCATGATGGAAGCCGAATGCACAATAATTCACTATTTGAAATTAACTGTTGTCCAGTAAAAGACTTTCTAGATTACTTAGATATCAAGTGACATTTCTACATGTGGGCGCGCTTAGACAGTATTTGCTAACCAACACCAAAACAGGTGTACAGAAATTCTAACCCTGGAAATATTGATTGAAACTCGAATACTTATGACAATGAGCCCACAATTCAACAGCAATATGAATAATAATAATAATAATAATAAATGCGACACTCTTACGAATATTTATAACGCACCTGCTTTTTTCGTTCAGACAATAGTTTTTCCTGTTCAGTTAAATTTACTTCTTCGATGGTTTTAAGTATTTCGGAGGGGACACGAATTTCTATATAAAGTAGGAAATTAATGAAGGGTATAACTTATTATAATCATGTTACAAGCAAATAAATAAATACTGTACTTATTCCTGTAACAAAAAATCACTCACAATATTACTTGTATGCACATCAGATGATGAATCCGATAAACAAGATACATGGGAGGATTGATGATACTACCCGACTAATCAAACTTTGACAACTGTAAGGTGTGCTTAGATCTCACTAGGGACTGGTTACAAGTTGTATGTCTAGATTAATATACCACAACCCTCGGATTTGTATGTACACGAAATATTCATCATACTTCAGGCGCACACTTCTTCTAAGGACTTAAGAATAGGCATTTAAATGAGTACATCAGTATATGAATGTTTCAATAGTTTCCATCCCAATCTGTAGTAGCTTACACAACAGCTTTCCAGAGCATTTACGGCATATTTCAGACGTTTTGGATTGTAATAAAGTGGCATATATATGTTTCCGAAATAGAAATAGACAGGGAATACCAGCTGTATAGTGATTTGAGTGGTCTAATCCATAAATAATCCACAAATGAAAACATTAATTACACACTACGACTGTTATTGATCAACTACAATTAGATAGTAAATACGACGAATGTTTTTATAGTCATAATAAGTTAATTGTTAGAATGTTGTGATGTGTTTGAATTGAAATAGAATTTTTAGATTATTTATTATCCTCTTCTGATTTGACTGGCGGTAATAATATCTTCCATATTTCTGGTATTTGCATTGAGTCATTTCTGTTGCATGTGTTGGGTGTAGACTCGATGAACCAGGATTCAATAATCAATCTCTCTCTCCACCTACCTATATTACTTTTCAGAATTTTAACCCTATCCCACCCTATTGTGTGTTTGTTTGTTAATGCGTGAAGTGCAATAGCTGAACATTTTTCTAAATTACTTATCTTCTCGGGGTCAACCATTCTTACCTTGGCTAAATTCTTATGTTCCGACAATTTGATTACCCCCGATCTACTAGTTTGACCTATATAGTCGACCTCACAGTCATTACAAGGTATTTTGTAAATTATATTATTTTGTTTAATTGGGTCCACCGGGTCTTTTAGCCTACAGAGCCAACATCCTAACAAGTTACTTATTATGACTATAAAAACATTCGTCGTATTTACTATCTAATTGTAGTTGATCAATAACAGTCGTATTATTATTTCTGAATGTACATTATCTCATATTGGATTTTATGCCAATATCTAATCGATTCCACACATGTATATAAATGAAGGAAAAAGTTGTGTGAGTACCTTGATATGATTATGAGCAATAGTTTGTGCTCGAAACGTCATCAGTTAATATAACTGTACTACACTGTGTGATTTATCAAAATAAAATCTTATCCATAATAGAACTTTCAGAGTAACTACATTTAACACAATATTTTCCCTTAAATTTAGAGACAGTAATAAAAGCTTAATGAGTTGGTGGTGCCGGGGTAGAATGTTGCCAAGTTACGCACATGGTACGGATTCGACTTCCAGCTGACGCACTCTTGAAGCTCGTCTAGTTCATTAGCTGATAAAGAAGAAAGGTTGGGGAGGGGGGAAGTTAGCAACCTCACCCTGAAAAAATAAAGTCAAGACTACAGAAACTTCAAAGCTTAGGACTTAAAACTCCACACGTTTTACTCGGAACACAAAGGAACGATAGTAGAAAAAGAAATATCAAACCTTGAATAGATAAAAAAGGATACTTAGCTCCCTTCACTAATTCAATGGACGTTATTTTCAATGAGTTTGTTAAATTAGCAGTCAATAGACACCCCTGAAATAATGCAGAATATCTAAAGACCAGAAAGCTGATTTGCTCGAATGTCCATTTGGAAAAAAAATGAAACACAGAAAAATCTTAAACATCTAACTAATCAATTGTGAGACATGTACATTGTATCTACGTTGATAAAGATTACCAAATCTTAAACATCCCTGAGATAGAATTTACTCATTGACTGAGTTCCAACATAGAACTTTGCGTAGAAGTGCAGTGGTTCAAGCAAGCTATCGCATTCCATTTAGCATACAAAAGTAGAGAAAAGATATTTAAAGGAACTACAGTAAGCAGGAGTGTGTGGGAGAAAGAACAGTAACCTGGAAAAATGTGAAGTTTAAATTGATATGGAAGATCACAAATGGGGGCATATACATCTGAGCCATTTTGAACGTCAGAAATACATACACAAAGGTGATGTTTGGGAAACTTTTCGAATATTTCGTATACATTAAATATTTAGTGCATTTTTCGCGCTATGTCGTGAATTGGCAGAAGTTAGAATTCATGGGCCATTAGATCCGGTCCCAGTGGCTTAATGGTATACGAGCTCGCCTTGTAACCAGAAGGTCCTGGGTTCGAAACCTGGCGGTGGGTTCGTACTGACGAAGAGTTCCAAACTAGGACGAAACAGCTGTCCAGTACTCACAGATGGTTTTCCAATGGTTCTCTAACTAATGTCAGCTCATGATGAAAATCCTGTAAGCAATCATATCCCTACAAACCAACACTTGAACATTTTTCAATTATTCCTCTAACCTTCTGTAATCCTAAGATTTGAATTACTTACAATAAAGAGCACTTTTTCTTAACAAAACATTAAAAAGTTCAAAGATTCTTTTGAGTCCTCTCCTCATTTGGTAAAGAGAAAAATACTATGGAAAATTGCTGAAACTACAAACGAATAATGTGTACACATTAAATACAAGAGTATTCAGATAAGCAAGCAACGGAAGTTAAAATTACCTTGATCGATATTACAATTGTCAACTGCTTCATAAAATAGCATATACGCGTTAGTTGAACTATGCCATAGGATTTTTTGTGATGCAGTTTCACAGACTGTTTCATCAATGCTTTCATTCAAGTCAGTATTATTTACATCCATAGAAGAGGTGGTTGCGGCGTCATAACGACGCTTTTTAGCTTTACGATGAGAACAATTTTCAGTAGACTGGTCAACTTTACTTTGATCTGTTGTTTGTTGTTGTGATTCTGAATTTTCTGAATGTGTTAAATAACCCTGCAGAGATTTAGCTGTCCCATTAACTTTAGATAGTTTGAAATGCTGTGATGGAATAGTGAAGACCTTAGAAAAAGAATAAAATAAATTTCTTTTTAAAAACAAAATATTTAAATAATTATTAACACTCAATGAAATAGACATTCTGACAGAATGGTTGGAGGCAATCGATAGGAAATCGTCATGGACCTAGGTTTCGTGCTTATTGGCACTCTCGTCAGCACGGCGTATCTGCAATCTTGGAGGGGCTTTCATATCCCGTCTGAGATTCAAACCTGGGTCATCTAGTGCTTCAGTTAGAGGTGTTATGCATACATACACTCTTGAAGATCAATGATGATGATAATGACGATGACAACAACAATTATAACCCTGGAAAGTGAGTGCAATGAAATTCAAACGAATATCTCTTATTCGTAACGATTGTAGACTGAAGACATCCTGTAACACAAGAGACTATCCAAATATTATTAAAGCTTAGTTAGAGCTGCACTATATATTTTTATGTTAAGCTGTGAGAGTAAGTCTAGTCAGAATGATTTTATATGACTCTTCAAGTTTGAATATTATCTACTTCACAGAAATAAAGTCAAGATAAATTATCAAATCAATATTTACATCAAAATATTTAGACAAATGCTTACATCTGCATCATTACAAACACTCCAACATTCATCTGATTTCATTTCTTGTTCACATGCAGAAGGTAGCTGTTCTTTACTGTGATGATCAGAAGAGACACTGATATCATTGTAAGAATCTCTAAGAACAGCTATATAATGTCCTGAAGTCGGTTGACTACCAATATGCAAAAGTACACCACATAAACGATAGGCACTGTAGGAAGGATCTGAAATAAAAACAGGACTAAGCGATTAATAATAGTGATAATAATAGAAGAAAAAACTGTAGTAGGGCAAAAACAATTGTCTCCAAGACATTAAACAGTACTGTGTTACACTATCATATGCTCTATATCATATAAACTGATAAGTATTCCATTCAGAAGAGATGTAAAGGAATGGTAACTATATAAGGACAAAATAAAATACTCATGCAGACCAGGAATAACTTAATTTTTACAGAACAAACTCAACAGTTTCAATTTCAGCCTTAATATTAAACAATTCAAGAAAAACTAATAATTTAAATAAAGCAAAAGCAAATGTTTGTGCAGAATACACTGAGTCTATCATTCATTTCGTTGATTTCTATGAACACGCCAAAAAAATCCTACGTCTCAAGGGATAGAATGCTTTGAACAGGGCTATTGCCAGACATCTTGTTGATACGTGTCGTGAGGTTGAGATATCGTATAATCCTCTTCAAGATTAATAACAGACAATATATATATATAACTTATGCGTCGGTGGCATAGCGGTTAGGACACTCGCGGACCATGCACATGGTCCGGGGTTCGATCCCAGGCCGACGCACTCTTTAAACTCGCTAAGCCAGAAATAATGCTGGTGAAGAGGAAAGGTTGAGCATGAGGCTAGCAACCTCATCCTGTAAAACAAACACTGCTACAGAAACTTCAAGCCACTAGCTTGAAGCGCCATGTTCCACCAGGGAACGTGAAGAAAAAAAAATATATATATATAACTCAACTTTCTTCAAATCTACCGAAGCAATCTCTATCAAGTGTTTAAAACCTGATTTACGTGTCCAGAAAAATCCACTTATCAGTCTTCCATTATTCTGGCAACTCATAGTGTAATCTCCTTCTCTCATTTGAATACAATAACATTTTGCTCTAGCCTCCATAATGGATAAGATTTTATTTTGATAAATCACACAGTGTAGTACAGTTATATTAACTGATGACGTTTCGAGCACAAACTATTGCTCATAATCATATCAAGTTACTCACACAACTTCTTCGCTTCATTTATATACATGTGTGGAATCGACTAGATATTGGAATAAAATTCAATATGAGATAATGTACATTCAGAAATAATAATACTAGTGTTATTGATCAACTACAATTAGATGGGAAATAAGACGAGTGTTTCTGTAGTCATAATAAGTTAATTGTTAGAATGTTATGATGTGCTTGAATGGAAATAGAATTTTAAGACTATTTATCATCTTCTTCTGATTTGACTGGCGGTAATAATATCTTCCATATTTCTGGTATTTGCATTGAGTCATTTCTGTTGCATGTGTTGGGTGTTGACTCGATGAATAAGGATTCCGTAATCAACCTCTCTCTCCACCTACCTGTATTACTTTTTAGAATTTTAACCCTATCCCACCCTACTGTGTGGTTGTTTGTTATTGCGTGAAGTGCAATAGCTGAGTTTTTTTTCTAAATTACTTATCTTTTCAGGGTCAATCATTTTTCCCTTAGCTAAATTATGTTCTGATAATCTGACTATCCCTGACCTATTAGTTTGACCTATGTAGTTGACTTCACAGTCATTGCAAGGTATTTTGTAAATTATATTATTTTGTTTAATTGGGTCCAACGGGTCCTTCAACCTACAAAGTTTGTCTCTGAGTGAGTTTGTGGGTTTGAATGCCACCCTGATTCCTGCTTTATTTAGAATCCTACGTAGGGCCTCAGATGTCCCCTCCTTATATGGTATTACAGTAGAAGATTTATATTCTCTCTTATTTATGTTATTACTACTAGTTACACAA